GCATGGATGGATGCATGGATACACGGATAGGAGGATGGAAGGATGGCTGGAGGAATGGCTGGACTGATGGATGAACAGACAGACGGATGGATGGATGGACTCTGGGAATGGGCAGAGGGATGAACAGACAGACGGATGGATGGATGGACTCTGGGAATGGGCAGAGGGATGAACAGACAGACGGATGGATGGATGGACTCTGGGAACGGGAAGAGGGATGAACAGACAGATAGACAGATGGATGGACTCTGGGAATGGGAAGAGGCATAAACAGACAGAGGGGTAGACGGATGGACTCTGGGAATGGGCAGAGGGATGAACAGACAGACAAATGGATGGATGGACTCTGGGAACGGGCAGAGGGATGAACAGACAGACAAATGGATGGATGGACTCTGGGAACGGGCAGAGGGACAGACAGAACCTACCGCTGAGCTGGAGCCTCCGGGAGCAGAGCGGGTTCCAGAGCTGGGAGAAGGCGGGCGGGCACAGGGAAGGACACACGGACAGGTCCCACTTCCCTGCGTGTCTCAGCTCTCCTGGCCGGTGCCGTGTCCCAGTGCCAGTGGCAGGGACGAGTCCCTGTGCTGTGCCACCACGGCAGGAGCCACCACAGCCCTGGCACCGCCATGCCAGGTGGGGATGGGGATCGGTGCAGAGTCACCCCAAATCCGGTCCCAAAGGCCACCTGGCCATGGGGCAGTCGCCCACCCCATCCCACCACCACCCCAGCCCCATTCTCCCACTCACCATCCTCTTCTTCCACACGGGACGTCCCCGGGATGTCCCCGGTGCCGCTCCGGCCCCGGCTCAGCGCCGGCACCACAGCCCGAATCCCAACCCAGCACAGCGGGATGGATCCCAGCCCCGAAACACAGCTCAGCCCCTCCAAACTCAGGGCTTCCACACGGAATAAATCCGTTCATGGAATAAATCCCTTCCTGGCTGGGCCTTCCTCCACATCTCCTTCCTCTGCCTCCCCAGCCGGGTCCTGAGCGGCTCCGGCACCCAGAGCACGGAGTGGGGCTGAGCCGGGAGAACAGAGGGAGCTCAGCCCAGGCTTGGGGGGCTCAGCCCACGTTTGGGGGGCTCAGCTCACGTTTGGGGGGCTCAGCCCACGTTCCCACACGCCGATGTCCCCCCTCCATCCCGCTGCCCTCGCTCACCCTCCCCACACCCTCACGGAACCCACGGCAGCTTCGGGGACGGAGCCGTCCGGGAATACCTGGGCTCTGGTGGGATCGGGGTGTCCCCTGGAGCATTCCCAGCTCCCACACTCTGTTCCCGGGAGTCTGCAGAGGCACCAGGAGATTCGCCGCCCGTTTGCCCGCAGCCCCCAAATGCCCGTGTCCCACCCCAGCCCTGCCACGCGCCCGGGCTTCGATCCCATCCCGCCGGTGCCACCTGCTCGGATCCCAAACGGGGGGAGCTCGGGGGGCCCCGGGGAGCGCTGCCCTCCAGCCCTGGTCCCCCAGCGGGGCGGTGGGACGTGGTCTGGGCGCTCCCGGAGCCCAGGGTGGCACCGGCCCCCGCGGGGACAGCGCTGTCCCACCCCACGGGCCTGGCGGGACACGGCCCCGGCCCCGCGGACTCACCGGCAGCTCCCGGCCCGCGGCGGCTCCGCTCAAACTTTGCCACAAGTTGAGACAAAGGCAGCGGGTGCCGTCCCCTGTCCCCCGGCCCTGCTGTCCCCAGACAGGCTGGTGCCACCAGGACTTAATGAGGGCACGAGGGCGGTGGGCTCAGGGGCTGCACACGCACACGCGGCGCCTTAACCCTTCCCCTGCCGCTCCTCCCCCGCCTTTGGGGGGGCCGGGCTCCCTGCACCTGCTCTCGGCCTGGGGGGGTCCCTCCCACAGCACCCCAAGACCCCCAGCCTGGAAAACGCCTGGAAGGACGTGGATAATCCCGAGTATCTTCTGGCTGGTCCCAGCCCTCAGCCCACCGTGTCCCTCCACAGCACCTCGTGGCCACGGGGCACCCCCGGCCTCGGGAAGGAGGGTCCCCCTGGGGAGGAGGGACCCCCCAGCCCCGGGTGTCCCCCCCCACACACAGAAGGGCTGGGGGGAGCTGACCCCAGTCCCGGCCCTGGTGTCCCCAGTTCTGCCCCCGGCACCAGGGAACCCCCGGCAGCAGCACCGTGGCCGTGCCGGGTGTGGGGTGTCCTGGCCGGTGCCTCCAGGTGGGAACGAGCCCCCGGCCATGCTGGGCCCCCTGTCCCCTCCTCTGGCTCTGTCCCCACTGCCCCACCCGGTCACAGTCCCTGCTGCTGCTCCTCCCACCTGCCCTGCTTCCCACACCTTCCCTTTCCATTCGGATGGAAATGGAGCCTCTCTCCATCCATCCCTCCATCCAGCCATCCATCCATCCCTCCATCCAGCCATCCATCCATCCTCCATTCCTCCATCCCTCCATCCATCCATCCATCCATCCATCCCTCCATCCATCCCTCCATCCACCCACCCACCCATCCATCCATCCATCCTCCATCCCTCCATCCCTCTAATCCTCCATTTGCTCCCTCGGCCACCTCTCCATCTCTCTCCAGCCTTCATCATCCATCATCCTCTGCATCCCTGTGCCCTTCTAGCTTATCCCTCCACACATCCGTCCATCCTCTTCATCCATCTATCTGCTCCCACCATTCACCTCTCCATCGTCTCCATCCCTCTGCCCACCTGGCTTATCCCTCCCTTTCTCCCTCCCTCCCCTTCATCCACCCATCCCTCCATCCCTCCATCCCTCCATCCCTCCATCCTCTTCATCCACCTGCCCCTCTGCCTTCTCCATCTGCCCCTCCCTCCATCCTCTCCACCCATCCATCTGCTCAGCCGTCCCTCTCTCCACCATCTCCACCATCCTCTCCATCCCTCTGCCTTCCCATCCTCTCCGTCCTTCCTTCCATCCCCGCATCCATCCCCGTCCATCCACCTGCCTGCCCTCTGCCTCATCCACACCTCCACCCTTCTGATCCATCCACCCTTCCCTCTTCTCCAGCCATCCATCTCATCTGCCCGTCGCTCTGTCCCTCCACCCTCTCCACCCTTCCATCCATCCCTCCATGCTCTCCACTCCTCCGTTCCCCCATCCCTCCCTCCAGCCCTCCATCTCTCCCTCCCTCCCTCCAGCCCTCCATCTTATCCCTCCGTCCATTTTCTCCCTCCCTCTCTCTGCCCACCCACCCTCCGCCCACTCTCCGTCCTCTCCCTCCATCTGTCCCTCCATCTGTCCCTCCCTCTCCCTCCCTCCCTCCCTCCCTCCCTCCCCGGCCCCCGGGACACGTGGCTGTCCCCTCTGTCCCCTCGGAGGGGCTGCCCGGGGAGGGGCTCAGCCGTGCCCCGCGGCCGGGGGGGTCTCACAGCTGCCCCCGCGCCCCCCACCCACGGGGGCACTCGTTGGGGGGACCCACCCCATGGGGGCCGGGGCCGTGGGGACAGAGGGGCCCCCGTGCCGCGGTGGGCGCGTCCCCAAGCGCTGCGTGGGGATGGGGGGCAGCAGTGGGGGGACCCCCCGCGCCGGGCCCGGAGCGGTTGGATCGGGTCCGATTGCGGGGGGCTGTGGGGGGGCTGCGGGGGGGCTGTGGGGGGGCTGTGGGGGGGCTGTGTGCGTGGGGCGCGGTGTCACGGGGGTGTGCGGGTGTGGGTGAGGGACTGGGGGGTGTCTCACGGGCGGGTGGGGGGCGGGTGAGTGCGGAGGGCTTATGTCGCGATAGGGGCTGTATCTGAGGCCGCGCGTGGGGCCGTGTCGCGGGTGGGACCGCCGGGCTGTGTCCCGGGTGATCCCGGGGGTCCCAGGACCCCCGAGGTGGGCAGGACGGCGACACGGGGTCGGCGCAAGGACCCGGGGCGGGCGGGAGGGCGGGGCCAACGCCCAGGGGGCGGGGAGAGGGCGTGGCCTCGGTCTGTGGCGTACCATGTGGGCGTGGCCATGGGTGGAACATGGAACGTGTCTGGCTGTGGAGCCACGCCCAGAGGGGGCGTGTCCAGAACTATCTATGGCGATGGGCGTGTCCATACGCTATGTATGGCAGTGGGTGGGGCCGGGGCAGTGCCACGCCCGTGGGCGTGGCCCGAGGGGGCGGGGCTGTGGCGGCCGCGATGGCGTCGCTGTTCGGCGGCGTGGAGGGGTGAGGGGTCCCGGGAGGGGTGTCTGGAGGGATGAGGGGTCCCGGGAGGGTGAGGGGTCACGGGAGGGGTGAGGGTCCCGGGGAGGGCTGAGGGGTCGCGCCGCGGGCAGAGGGGCTCCCCGAGGCTCTGCACCCCCATCCCCCGGGCACCCCCACCTCCCTGATGGCCCCGACCCGCCGCTCCCGGGGACCCCCAGCCTGGGGGGGGTCTCAGGAGGGGTCGCGGGGGCAGGAACCGATGGGGGAGCAGCCGGGAACTCCATCCGGCCCCTCTCCCCGATCGGCTCCTGCCCCCCCGACCCCTCTTGCCCTGTCCGGGGTGCGGCCGGGGACCGAGGTCAGTGGGGCAGGGTCAGCACCGCGCCACTCGCGGGGACCCCCATCCTGGTCCCACCCCCCTCCAGGGACCCCCATCCTGGTCCCATCCCCCTCCAAGGACCCCCCATCCTGGTCCCACCCCCCTCCAGGGACCCCCATCCTGGTCCTACCCTCCTCCATCACCCCCAAGTGCTGCTTTAGGGGCCGGTGGGGCTGAGTGGGGGTCCCCCCCTCGGTGGGCTGGGGTGTGGGGGGCTGTGGGGTGGTGCTGGCAGTGTGTCCCCCCCCTCTCTCGGCAGCGGGGGCACCCACTCCAGGGTGGTGCTGGTGTCTGGAGATGGGCAGATCCTGGCCGAGACAGAGGGACCCTGCACGAACCACTGGGTGAGCTGGGGGACACCCCCTCCCCAGCCCGGGGGCTGCAGGGCATGGAGGGGGGCACAGGACATGGGGAGGGGGGCTGAGGCCTGGAGGGGGGTACAGGACACGGAGGGGGGACACAGGACACGGGGGGCTGGTTCTGGCTGTCCCCAAGCTCCCAGGGCGCTTGGGTGGGATGAAGCCACTGGAGAAGGTTCCGGGGTGTCCCCCCTCTCGTGGCTGCCGTGGAGCCACGTGGGACCCCCAGGGAGGGAGCCGGGGGGGGCTTTAGGGTGTCCCCCCGTGTCCCAGCTCATCGGCTCCGAGAAGTGCCTGGAGAGGATCGAGCGCATGGTCAGCGAGGCCAAGAGCAAGGCGGGGGCCGACCCCCAGGTCCCCCTGCGCTCCCTGGTGAGGCCCCCCCGTCCCCCCACCCCGGGACCCCCCCCGGGCACACCCCGGGGCTGACGGGGACCCTGGTCGGGGCAGGGGCTGTCCCTGAGCGGGGGGGACCAGCAGGACGCCATCGGGAAGCTGACGGAGGAGCTGCACCGGCGCTTCCCCCACCTGAGCCAGAGCTACTTCATCACCACCGACGCCGTGGGGGCCATGGCCACGGCCACCGACCACGGTGGGGACCGGGGGGCGCGGCGGGGGGACACGCCCCGGCACGGGGGGGTGACGGTGCCGCCCGGCCCCGCAGGGGGGATCGTGCTGATCTCGGGCACCGGCTCCAACTGCAAACTCATCAACCCCGACGGCTCCGAGACCGGCTGCGGAGGATGGGGGCACATGATGGGCGACGAAGGCTCCGGTGAGCCCGGGGGGGCCGGGGGGGCCGGGGAGCTCGGGGGGGGGGCCGAGGCGGCCCCTGACTCCCCCCCAGCGTACTGGATCGCCCACCAGGCCGTGAAGATGGTGTTTGACTGCATGGACAACCTGGAGGTGCCGCCCCACGACGTCGGATACGTCAGGCAGGCCATGTTCGACTACTTCCAGGTGCTGCGGGGGGCTGGCAGGGGGCTGGGGGGTGTCAGGGGCTGGGGGGCTCTGGGATCTGTGTCGGGGTCCCAGTGGGCTCCGGGATGGGTGTCAGGGGCTGGGGTGGCTCTGGGATCTGTGTCAGGGTCCCAGTGGGCTCCGGGATGGGTGTTGGGGTCCCAGTGGGCTCTGGGACGTGTATTGGGGTACAGGGGGACGAGTCTGGGATGGCTGTCGAGGTACAGGGTGGGCTCTGGGATGGGGGCTGGGGTCCTGGGGGGACTCTGGGATGGGGGCTGGGGTCCTGGGGGGGCTCTGGGATGGGGGTTGGGGTCCTGGGGGGGCTCTGGGGTGTGTGCAGGGTCCTGAGTGCTCTGGGCTGGGTGTCAGGGTCTGGGGGGCTCTGGGCTGTGTTCTGGGTACAAGGGGACTCTGGGCTGTGTTTTGGGGTCCGGGGGGCTCTGGGCTGTGTTTTGGGGTCCGGGGAGCTCTGGGCTGTGTTTTGGGGTCCGGGGGGCTCTGGGCTGTGTTTTGGGGTCCGGGGGGCTCTGGGCTGTGTTTTGGGGTCTGGGGGGCTCTGGGCTCAGTACTGGGATCCAGGGGGGTCTCTGGGCTGTGTGTGGGGTGCAGGGGATGCTCTCAGCTGCAGTGGGATGGGGTCCCTGTCCCCAGGGCGGGTCCCCTGTGCAGCCGGGCCCCAGAGCTGCCCTGTGCCCCCCCCATCGCTGCCCCCCAGATCTCGGACAGGATGGGGCTCCTGACCCACCTCTACCGCACCTTCGAGAAGTCCAAGTTCGCGGGGTTTTGCCAGAAGCTGGCAGAGGGTAGGGAGGCCCCTTCCGGGGGGTGGAGCTGTCCCGGCCCCCCCTGGGCACTGTCACCCCGTTTGTCCCTCCCGGTGCCACTCCCCGATCTCTGCCCCGGGCACACCTTGGCCCCGAGCACCCTCTGCCCTCCTCGGGGGGTGGGACACGGGTGCCACCCCGTCCCCCGCAGCACAGCCCGGCTTGTGGGACCCCCGGGGGGTGCAGGGGGGGTCCCAGGTCCCCGTCCCACCCCCCCACCCCGTCCCCAGGCGCCCAGGCCGGGGACCCTCTGTGCTGCCACATCTTCACCAAGGCAGGCGAGGTGCTGGCGCGGCACGTGGTGGCCGTGCTGCCCAAGATCGACCAGGTGAGCGCCCACCTGGGGCTGGGGGGGGGTCAGGGGTGGGAGGGGTCTCGGCACCCTCCCCTCACCCCCCCAACTCCCCCAGAGCCTGTTCCTGGGGGAGCTGGGGCTGCCCATCGTGTGCGTGGGCTCCGTGTGGAACAGCTGGGAGCGGATGCAGGCGGGTGAGCGCAGGGACAGGGGCACGGGGGGGCCCGGGGGGCCCGCGTGACCCCCCCGGGTTCCCCCGTCCCCAGGGTTCATCCAGGTGCTGGCCCAGGCCCGGGATGCGGCCCCGGGCCGCGCGTTCTCCCGGTTCCGCCTCCTGCAGCTGACGCGC